ATAGAATATTAACAACGCAGTTGTGAATAAATGATAATGCTAACGGTGCTCATATCAATTAAATGGCGTTGTAAATGCTGCACAGATCAATGTGAATGGCGATAAAGCACGTGTTATCATTGACAAACGAGTTATCGTGTTCCATATCAATTAGATCGACGAATCTCTTCAATCCAAACGCTGCATTCCTCTCGGACCGAGGACGTCCCAAAAATGCCAGATTTGACGGGGTTACGTGCGGAGTTAACACTTCACTTACTAAATTTATTATTCATTATTTTAATATCATACTAACAATAATGACAATAATAAAAGTAATAATAATAATAACTGTTTTGTTGACTGTTCTGATTAAGCATAGTAAATGTGATGGGGCAGGTGAAAGGCCACGGCAAAATAGGATCATGATCGCCACGTAATATTGTTAAAAATATCGCGTTCGATTCTCCGATCGCTGGAATTGTATTTTCATGACAATAATAGTAATAATATTAATAACAATGACAATAATAATAACAATAACATCAATAATAACATTAATAATAATAATAACGACAGTAATAAATAAAAAAAAGGACTAGATACAGTCTCCATCGCCATAAGGAGCAAATGCGATGGCCAGTTTATAGCCATGTCGATGTGATAGGAACGTTGGACTGTATATAACTGGCGGGTTTGATCGTTTTGCATTGTAGTAATGTGTCGAGTAGTTGTTTATGCGCCAAGTGTATTGGTTACTAATTTAGAATATTGTTATTACGCTGGTATGTTAAAGGTATATCGCAACAATAAATTCATCCATCAATCTCATTAATCGACAGGTATTGTTTCATTGACGAAATTGATTGCCTTACGGAACTTGAGCAACCGACCGGATGGACAACGATTTCAGTCTTTCGGAGAGGTCAGTGAAACTGATATATTAATGAAAGTGATCAAGTGAATGAGATCTTAATAATTGAAAGATAATAATGAAGCAACCTGAAAAGCGTTTCGATATTGTGCATTTGTTGAATGGTATCATCGCAAGAGTACATCGACTGAACATACGATGAACTCATCACACCACTTCTAGTGGACATCTCCGATAAGCTTTCACACATTTGTTTGAGGTGCACAGCACTACAGTACTCTTTCGTTATATCTTAAACAATCGAATAAATAATCAGCACTTACCTGGACTCTTTGATGTGATGCTTAACTTGATCCACTGAACTCTTGACAGTGCATCCGAAATCATTAAACGGGCATTCGATATTGCCGTTCTGATTTGCTTTTTTATCATCACTGTGCATAATTTCATCGTTACGATATTTGTTATGAGCAATATTATCATCGTTGTCAGCATCAATATTATTGTTGTTAATGTTATTGTCGAGTGCAGGAATATCAACAGGAGTAACAAAAGTCGTGGATGACTCAGAATGCAATGATACTGTTGGGGTTGCACTTCGATTCTGAATTCATCACTGAATCACAATCTTAACAATTGTAACAGTAACATAATAAGCTTTAAAAATGTTGATAAAATGAAATAATAACAAAAAGAGTAAAAGAAATAACTGACAGTCGCACGATGTATGACATTTGATTTATCGACTTGAATAATGGTTACAACGTCCTTCTAAAATATCTTTCTCATTACCATAGGCCCATATTCATATATACAATAATACCTAAAGGTCATTCTCGAACTGCATCATCCATTTCGGTTCATGAAGTAAAGTGATCTTACCTGCATTCATAAAGTAAAGTCATCTCACCTGCATTCTGCTGCTAACCGCTTATCGACACAATTCAATGAACATCAGCACGAACGAAACAGCAACAGTTGAATAACAGTAAGATTAGCTGAATATCCATTGTACTGAGCAACCATCACCATGGTTTTAAAGTACCTTGAAACCATTAACGTGACGTATGTAAAGCGTTCTTCTGAATATATTCGTCATTTCATATACCAATACCGAAATGATATCATCATATATGCAAAAAATGATAGATAAAGTATTAATAATAGTGAAGAAACACGAATTAAAATCATTTTTTAATATTACTATCGAGTTGATCAGTCCGGCTGGCTTGAGCTGGATTGAGTGAGCGGATTATTTAAAAAAGGCACGGCTGCTAAATCGAGGAGAGATAGCAATAAAAGCTACAAGGATGGTGCGATTTCAAAAAACGAGGACACTATTCGAGAAAGTTTTATCGAGGAGAAAAACGGTTCGATATTATGAAATTANNNNATGCTTCACTTTTGAATTCGATCTTATAGTCGAGATCGGAAATGGAACAATGTGAAAGTGAGCCTGAATCGAAACCTGAATCGAAACGCAGTCCAACGAAAAGAACTGCGGTCGTGCAGTTACCGGTAGAGGTGATTTCGTCGATTGATCAAGGGTTCGTTTCTGATTGGATTTGAGATAATAGGGGATATGTGTGCTTTTAATCTTTGTCAACTATCTGCTTTGCATAACGATTTGGGGAAAAATTCATAACGATTCTATCGCCTTTCTTTTGTGCGAACATCATTTCATCAAACGATACATCAAATGGATTGAGTCAGGCCGCACCAATAATGCCAGCAACCATGCAACTTACTTAGGAATTCAGCTGTAGGTGTGCAATTGTGCATTAGCAGTCGATCACTTTTCTGATAGCAGAAAATCTGGTGGTGTGAAGGAATTTGTATGGTATCCAGCAAAAGCAAACATAGAGCTTAAAGCTTGAATATGGTGCTTCCAACATTCCTATAGCAGTCTATCACTGATCAACGTAGAGATGAACTGTGAACAGTTTGGCGGCTCAGCTATATGAGGTGTTTTGAAGATATAGCTATGTCTACAGAACTAAGTATTGTCCATCGGCAACGCATATACTTTGGTGATAGTTTAAGATGTGATCTGCGTAAATATCACCATGATTACATGTGAAGCTGAGTGTGCATGTATTACTTCAGCATGACATTCAGATGAACACTGCAAGGGTGAGAGCATTGGAAAGATAACAAGTTTCAGATCATTCGTGAACGCAGCAGATAAGGATTTATTATCAGAGACTTATTATCATGGAATAATCGAACAAGATGAAATCAAAAAGCTTTTGTCGAAAAATGGCGACTTCTTGATCTGTATTGTTGAAGGAGACACTGTGGAGGTGATAGCATTTTGTTGTTATTATTATTAGTTTATTTGAACAAAGTAACAGAATGTTGTATTCAAGAGAATCGTGTGGGCTGTAAGGTTCGATGGATCACCTCGATATATCGCAATAGTACGTACAGCAGATTCTAAATATGGAGTGCTAAAAGACAGATATTTCGACAAGATCCCAGATATGATCAAATATTATGTCACAACACGAGAGCCTATCCATGCCTCTCTCAAGATCACTGTTAAAAGAGCAATTCATCATAAAGTATTGTAATATATTATCATTTCATGAGAAGAGTCTGTGGATTGTAAACAGCTAATGCACTCACTCACCCATCTCCAACCGAACGATAAATCATATAATACCATTCAAACTGATTATGATCAATATATGTAACCTTAAAAAGGTTCATATTCAACTTCACATTGAGAATACTTATGAAAACAGCGGTGATTTAAAACATCTTGGTCATTTTGATGTGCAGTCAGAGTTGTTGGGTAGATGAATAACTATTGGAATGCTTTGAAGGATTGGTTGATATCACATGACCGAGTAAGACTTGAAGAGGAGATTGGTAAAGGTGCGTTTGGCAGCGTTTATAAGGGCATTCTTCAAGTAGGGCACGACTTTATGACGGTTGCCGTCAAGACTTATGCTGGGCATGCCAGGGATAGATCGAAGGCTGCTTCATTTTTGCAGGTGAATTATTATTATTATTACTGCACTCCAATAGTGTTGTGATGAATGATATTTATTT